TTGCAGCTCCACAGCTCTTTGCAGTACCCTGGGGTGCAGCAAGTGTAAGGTTACACAGGAAAGCACACAGCTCTCTCCATGGCTGCTGCCAGCCTCTGGAGTCTTAAGCAAAACATCAGGGGCATGGCATATAAGGGAGCACCATTTTAAATTCATTTAGTTAAATCATCTGACAAAGCAAGCCTATGTTACTGCAGCTGACCAGCTCTCAGCTCGACTGATGTACTTTGAGTCACAAAAAGCTTAGAAACCAAAGCACTGTTTACCCTCCTCCCAAGTGCAAACACTGCACTCCAGACAGCATGTGCATTGGCTTCTGCAAGAACTTTCCAGTTTATAAAACAGTCCTCTGCTTAGTCATACTCAAAAAGGGTAGGCACTTTTTCACCCTGAAGGGAGGTATGTATCTGGCACGTGGGCTGGAAATGGAAGAACAGAACATTTCTTAAAAATTCAAGAACTTGCTCAGTGAAGATCCTCCTTCACTATTTCTGAAGACCCTCAGTCATTAGATCTGATTTTTGTCTGCCTTCAGCACTGTGCAAGTGCTTACCTGGAGACGGATTACAAAGAAGATTCAAGCCATTTTCATATTTTTTGAAAGTATAGAAGAACTGGTATTCTCCATCCTTATCTTCTCTCAGGTATTTCCCTCTTGTACACACTTGTTACAGACACTGTATCTCCATGAAGGTCTTATCTAAGGTAGTTATTAAACTGAAAGGACGAAGTAAATAAAAATAAAAACATTATTTTTGCAGTTGTCTGGAAGGCAAGAAGGTCTCAGTTTTGAGTCAATGGAAAATAGACATCCTTCTATTTCAGTGGTGTTGAATTCTACCTGATAAATAAAAACATTCAAATAAGTCAGCTCTCCATGCAACATCAGAAAAAATGGGAATCAATTCTTAGTAACAAGCTCTTCAAGCTCAAAAATAATTTCTCAATCAAAATTACGGAGTTGTTTTTCCCACTTTTTTGTTCTGTCAAATTTAGCGTTCATGGCAGTAGATGAACTATTTCGGGCCCTGGACTTGAGGGTCAAACCACCGATTAATTTCAAGGGCACCATGTTTATCTCCCCCTGCACTGATGCAGGTGTAAAGTCTAATGGATATGTCATTACTTCTGTAGACTCCTCATGAAAGGCTCAGAGCTGACAGATAGTCTGCTTTCATTATTTTCTTTCCCTCCCTTGGCATCTTGGAAAAAAACTCCCAGAGATACCACAGCTCCACTCCTTTCTCAGAGCTGACACGAGGAAAGAGGTAGGAAGCAAAATCTGAAAGCATCAAAACAGGAATTAGATTCAAATCTGCCTCCACCTTTACAAACAGGTTATATATTTAGGTGTTTGCTAAATGTTGAAAACCTTCACTTCCCAGCTAAACCAGATAAATTTGTCATTGCTGGTATTTTCAAGGAGAAGTAGCTTTTAGATAACTGTGACTACAAAACCAAGCCCGGTACACTTGTGCACACCAAATTAAATTTAATAAAGCCAGCATCAAAAGCCCCACTAGCACAGGTGATTGATGTCATATGAGCTGGGAGAACTTCCAATAGCAGGAAACATGGGTGGCAAAGAATTTCAACTATTCTGTTATATAAATATGGACTGAAGTGGGCATTAAGTCAAGGAAGCTCCATGCCCCTATGACAGGCAAGATAGAACAGCTCATACATCTGAAGGGAACAGCGAGGAAAACTGTCCTCTGTCTCCGTTTTTCCTCCAACTTTTTACTTGTTTAGCCTCCATCATTGCATACTTTTTACCAATGCCACTGGGCTCTGACCTCATTGAAGATCAGTAGCTTCAGGCACACAAATACAGCCACAAGTTGGCGGCCAGAGTACATATGCTTGGGACAACAGCAGTGATGGAGAAACCCCCTGGGTCAGGGAGGGGTGCAGAAAAGAAGGGGAGAGGGTATTAAGGCCCTTGCAGAGGATAAGGGCAAATGCAATCCTTGACTGTGCATGTCTGCTTTTTTCCTTTTCTTTTTAAGTCTCTACAGCTGACTTGGATCTTAACTCCCAGTCATAAATCTTGCCGAATTGTTTGGCATCTTTATACACAGCACTAGGGCTTGCATAGCACATTGAGCCAAAGATATTAAGAAACACAGTATTTTGTTAGGTAGCTAATGACTTGTAGCTTTCAGTCTCAAAGTACTCAGAAACTTCCACTACATGTGGAAAACCAGCATTAGAAACGTACACACCATCACTAAAGCTCTGACATTCACCTCTACACATTAAGCTCAGTTTTTCTCCCCCATCTGTGGAATTACCAAACTGTGGAGCACATGACTGACATTCCTAAAAGCATTAAGTAACCCCCTACAAATTTTGTGGTGGGGTTGCACATCTCTCCTGTTGAACAAATTTGAAAGTGGGGACTACATTCTGTGACTTCACAGGGCTTTACTGGAAATTTTGGGTTAATTTGAATAGTTTAAGAGACTCCAAACATGGTGCAGAAGGGAAATCTTTCACTGCCATATTACTGCTTCAGACACTAGACAGTGTTCATGCTCTGAATTAAACAGCAGATAGACTGGCAGATTTTCCTTTTTCCCCTCCTTGCACTTTCTTTCCTTCCTCTCTGTTTTGTTAAAAATAAAATAAAAAAAGCTAAAGAGCTGCATAAGAAATTCCATCTGGCAGCTGTAGAGTGGATAGTGAACATAAAGAAGAGATTCCTTTGCTGTGCCTAATGCATGCTGCTTATCCAAATTAGCCACACAATTACTTCTATCAATGCAAAACTAGTTTAATGTTTTTTTTTTCTAGTGCACAGCACTTGAGAACGACTTAAAATGCAGTGTAATTTGCCACAGTGTATGTCCTGAAGTGGCTCACTAATGAAAAGAGGATTAACTCTCCATTATTCTGAATTACCATTTTGTGAAATCACTAACAATATTTTCATTTATATACATATAACCCAAGGGGGAGAAATATTTCAGCCATCCAAGTGATTAACAAATAAAATTTATTAGATAACATGCACTTTGGTCTTATTTATGAAGAGAAAAATTAGGGTATAAAAATGCAGATGACTGAATTTTTATCATCCTTGTTCTGATAACACACTTAAGCCCATGACAGCGCTGGCAGCTCAGCGTTCCCTGCACACGCTGGATTGAGCAGCAGAACCCGCAGGATGTCGGGCTCAGCAGGTGAAATCTCACAGGCTTGAGCATCTGCAGGGCCCCACTGAGGTGGCCCCAGCCCTTGGCTCCTGACCAGCACCACAGGGTGGGAGTGCGAAGGTCTCAGCAGCTCACACAGCCTGGCCTTGGCATAGCCCAGCAAGGCAGGAGAGAAGCCGTGGTTTGGGCACAGGGAAAGAGTGGGATGAGCCACGGATTGCCCTGCCTCACCGGAAGGGAACTCCTGGTACCAAGCTGGTACAGGGAAGCTGCACTGGTACATCATTCAGCCTGCACTAACTCATCTATAATGCAAAGTACTTTAGCCCAAATGAAGAACCACAGGGGGTGGGAGCCTGCTCCAACAAGCCTGTGCAGAGGTAACCCTGCAATCTGTCTGCCATCTGACTGCAATGGGTGAACACTCTGTAAGGGATGGTCTCCCTGCCCCAGAGGTCTGCAACAGAAATCTGAGCTTTCTCTGCCTGGGCTCACGCTGAACAGTCGTCCCTTATACCCACAACAGCATTAAGAATACCCACCCCAAAAAAATCCAGTCTACTTTTCACTTTTTTTTTCTTGGAGGGTTGGCCTAGGGAATAGTCTTCTCTCAGCTCTGTTTGGTGTACAGAGAATAACCACTAAGATATGAAGTTAGACAGCTTTGATTCCTGGAAAAACACAAGCCCTTCTGTCCTTCTGCCACAACCAAATGTTTCATGGCAACTAATGCCAGAGTTCAAATAGCAAACCAGTCCTTTTCCCCCCCTTTCCCCTCCTGTTATTTAAACTCTGTTACTTCTTACTTAGTCTAGAGTCAAATCTGAAATACATGTTTTATTAGAGGAATTTCAACTGATGTTTTCCTGTGCTCTGACTCAATTTAAAAATCCCCGCAGCAGATAACATTGGCAAGGCATAAAAGAACACAGCGTACTTGAAAGTTCAGGGAGCATATGGCTTCCCAGGACAGACAGAAACAAGTATTTCTCAGCAGTGGTCTAACTTTCAGAGTGCTACCCAAGCTTCAAACTGCGCTGGTGTTACAGTACCACAAACGATCATCTGCAGATGTAATCGCCCTGTTCCAAGGTGTAACAAATCAATACACTGTGGCAACCAACTGTGACTACTGATTACACTGCTTTCTCTTCTTCCCTTTCCTCCTCTCCCGTTTCATGGAGCCATGAATAAAAGTAGTCAGTCCTTCAGCATCAAAGCAACAGCCTCTCAGTTAAGATAATTCCTCAGTAGGCAAATAGAAGTTCTTATCAAGTTCTAGATAACAGCCTAATCACTCCCAAAGTCAGACTGTATTAGATTTGTATCTCTGATAGTCTAACATTATCTACAGATAATAATAAGTCTGCATGTAGATTAGTATAATTCTGGAATGGTAAGGGAAAAGGCTGTCCTGGGGCATGGCTGCTGGGGCAGAGAGATGGGATTTGATGTTACACCACAGGCACACAAGACTAAGCCCAAGGTAAGTTTGCTAGAAGCTGGAATTCTCAGGGCCCTTTACAAATCTCAACAGAGGACCACTTAGCTAACATCATCATCATGTTTTAGGAAGCTTGTCTAAACCACAGATCCCCTTGCCAGTGAAAGCAAGCCAATTTTTGAACAAAGGTGTACACTTTGCCAAACAAAAACTGACTCCACAATCTTGCACAGCTTTGGAGTAGGAAAACAGGAATCATTTGGCTTTTTCAAGTTTTGCAGAGAAACAGAACATGACAAGCACAAAAGAGCCCAAACTGAACTAACAAACCCCATGGGTACATGGGATGTCAGTGAAATATGGTTATCCTGCTTTCAGGAGAACTCTACAATAGCTGCATGAAGGCATTAGCCAGATTTTTGGAATTAAAAAGACACAAACAGCCAACACAAAAAAATTTTGGGAGCCACTACAGGATTTGTTGCCTGCAAGGTAGGTGGATTTTTGGCAGGCTGTACTTCCTTACTTTGTAAGATCAAGCCCAACTCCACATCTTCTTATTAGGAGTCTCCTACAGAACCCCAAGGTTCAACCTGTCCCTTCAAGAGAATAAGAGACATGAGCAACTGCTCCCCTGAGACATCAGGGAGTCCCAGTAGGAAAAACAAGACAGAGCCCACACATAGAGATGACAGGAAAGTTTTCAGCTAGCAATATAGGAAACAGAAGAGTAGAAGAGAGTAGAACAGGTATAACCAACATTCACCTGAATACACATTTCATCTCCCTGCATTGCTGAAAATCACAAAAAGGATAAGGCTTTAGAAAATTCTTAATTAATGACTAAAAAAAAAATAATTAAATTTCCTCCACTCAGTTCCCCAGGTGCTTTAGACCCTAGCTGTTAGACCTACCAAATTCTTACCAGTGGATTTTCCAGGAAACAAATTCCCAGCGGAGACTGAACTTCAGTAATCACAAACCTTTGGCTTTTGTTCCGATTGCTGGTGAGCTCCTCCAACAACATATTCCTTGCTTAGTTTGGGGGGCGCAGAACTCCGGGTGCCAGTCTGTGATTGCCACAGAGCAGGGTCATCCATCTCATACAACGTGCAGTGCTGTTCCCAGTGTCCCACAGCTGGAGCAGAAGTCACTTGCTTTGTGCTTCCTCAGGTTAATGATCTGCTTTGGTTGCATTCCAGTTTCTTGCACATCCCAAGAGCACTACTCCATGGATAAAATGTCATCAGGAAGTTGGAATGCTGGGAAGAAAAACGCATACACAGCAATCAAAGTAGATCCTGAAGAGGACTACTGTACCCCAGGGGCATTTGAACTGGAACGACTCCTCTGGAAGGGATGCCCAAAGTACACTCACGTCAATGAAGTCTGGCCCAACCTCTACATAGGAGATGAGTAAGTGTACACAGTACATCTGCTCTACAGAGGAGATGACTACGCTGTAGTAAGCACAGCTCACCAACAGAGCAAGGTGTTTTGAACTACTGACAGATGCCAGCGTTCGACAGAGCAATCAGAGCCTGGCATGGCCCTTACTGTTATAGGCACACAGTGTCTGCTGCTGCTACAAAAAAGCACAGGTTAAGTGTGGCTGGGTCTGCTGTTAAAGGCAGAGTAACAGGACTGGTTGTGGCACCACTGTAGGCTGCAAAAGTTGAAGCTCATTGTGATCTATTTTTAAATGGTTCATATCAAGAGTGATTTGTCATTCACCTCTGAATGAAAGTTATTCCACAGTTAGCACGGTCTAGATGTGTTGGACCACACCTTAGGTTAGTTTAGGCCTAAAATGTAATTCTTGAAAAGTGACAAAAGAGACACCTCACCCTGCAGTGGTATTTCTGAATTTCCAAGCTTGTGCTTGTGTACATGGAACACTGTGCATTTCCAAATTGCTCAAGAGATTAAAAAAAACAGAACCCTGTGGAAGGCAAAGCTGCAGAGATGTGTCTCACTAATCAGACCAAATGTGATGTGGAAAAAAAACTACAAAACAGACTTAGTTCTGCCGAGCACAGGACTAAACTAGAATCAGCCTATTCCAACAAGCAGAGATGATTGCTGCAGCAGGGAGACGTGCCATCAGAAAATCCCCCAACCCAAACCCTGAGCAGACCAAGAGAGCTTTCCTTACCCCTTAGGCATTATTGGTCCAATTCCCACTTTCCTCTACACTCTGCACTAACATGACATTTATTTTACACCATCACTGAAAGGCACAAGTAGGAGCCCCACTGGCTCCAAAGTTCTCAATAATTTTTTAAAAGGTTCTAAAATTCATCTGTTGCCAGCTTATAAAAGAGGAAAGATATACAGCTTTGAGAGTTACAAGACTCCTAATATCATCCACCAATTACTTCTGTGGCGCCAGAGGCAACAGAAAGACACAGGAGTTCTGGGCTTGGACCAAGCCAGGGCTCCCATTTTTAGATGTGGGGGTGGGAGTGTGTGCGTGTGGTGTGGGATAAAACAATTAAGCCATGGGAACAGCCTGGCCAAATGATTCAGGAACACAAGAAAAGGAGGTCTAGTTTTCCTTTCCACATCCTACCCTGCCCCTCGTTTAGATATTTCTAACTCAAAATTCACTGTAAAGAACAGCCTCTTCTGGCACTTATTTCCTACTTTCTTGTTCAGAATCACCAGCAGAATTATTCTGAATGAAGCTGTTAAAAGAATTTCCCTCTTATCTCTGTGATGAAGCTATAGCTGTGCCCTCTGAGCAAAGGGATTTAATAAGACAAGCAGTCAGTCTCCAAGCACAGGACACCAGTCATTGAGCCTTTCCTGCAATCATTCCTGTAGCAGTGGCTTGTTACACCTTGCAATTCAGTAAATGCTAGGAGGTGCTACTCTGAATACAGCACACATCTGGCACTTTGCATTAACTAACAAGAGGAACACAAACACAAGCTTCTTGAGAGGTACTTGGAGCTACACTCAGGCTGGGCAGCATATTTCTGCAGTCTTACATCAGGAGGAAAACCAGTGGTGCTCCAAGGGGAAATAGGACTCACACATGACAAGATAAAAGAATGAGAAAACCAATGGAGAAGGAAAAACAAGTGAGGAGCAGGTGGGGGGTGAACAGAAATAAAACTTTATCAGAAAATGCGACTCCCTAAAAGAGAATGACTATTGTCAGCCAGGTAAGGACAAACTTGACATGGGAGGAAATCTGAGACAAGAACTGGTCTGCAGGAAGGATGCAGCCTTTCATTACCAAAACTAAAATTTGATTTGAAGCAGGCAAAGTCCAAAGACTTCCATATCTTTCCTCAGCCAGTTCCACATCTTACTTCTGACCAACAGCTTACCCCTTCAGTGTGGCAGGGTTTGTTTTATTTTAAGACCTAGCTATAGCACTGGTGGCCAAAGAGCTGCCATGGAGACACTAACAGATGTTGGGTGCATTTGCATCTTTAGCCATGCTAAATTAAGGTTGATCTTGAAAGAATTTAGTGGAACTCATCAACAAAATCAAGGGAACACGCATGCAAAGTTTATCTTCAGAGCCTTCACATCTGTGCTTTATTCCTGCCTCCTGCATTCACAAGGTTAACAGGACTTGTGACTGCTTATGGAAATGCTAATTAATTACCCTGACTAGTAACCACAGTCTTCCTTCTAATGCAATACAGGCTATCAGGGAGCCCTGTGAGGCCACTCAATCCTTTTGTTACAAGGCTTTGCTGCAGATGTTGCCCAGAGGCAATGAAATCTCCATGAGCCTGTCAGACCCAGAATAATCAAAGCCTCAAAATATAACATGCTGTGTTCAGCTCCAATTGAAATTTTCCTCCAGCAAGTTCCAAGGACTTTTAAAGACCAGACACTGGAACTTGTATGAGACAGCCCAGTGATAGGAATAAAACACTTTGCCAAGATTTGATTCAACTGTTACCAGGATTAGTGCTTGCATGTATCCTCCTCACATCTAGAAGCCTTCTAAAGGGATAGAAAGCAGCTTTGTCTTGCTTCTTTCTTTCACTGGTCACCTGCTTACTTCCACAGGCAGTTTTACTGGCTAATCCCAAACCTGCTTGTTCCACCCCAATCACCTGGAAAATCTCTGCCAGTTACACATCTTGTAGTTTCTTCTTGCAGCTCTTAAGTGATGGCCTTATTACCAGTGATGATGTTAAGGGTTCCACATTTCTGGAGTTCAAAACTTGTCTTTCAGTTGAAAAGGTCCCCCAAGAATCTGTTTTCCTCTTAACTGTCCACTAGGTCTCATTAGGATTTAAGGTCTGATCACAGTTTCAGTTCTTCCTGTGTTCTCAAACTACTCCCAGAGGAAAAGAAGTCTTCTGGAGTCTAATTCTCTACAAGTATGAAAAATAATTTTCTGGATATGCAGCTGAACTGAGGTTGCACTTCATGGTCTGTGCTTGTCCCAGACTCATGGTCTTGAGAACAAATACAGGAAGGGTTTAACAAGACACACAAGTAACTCAAAACTACAAACTGGAGTGCATGATAATTAAGATAAATAACTAAACACTAAATACATGCTTAGCTAAAACTCATTCTGTCCTCTTACCCTTCTGCAGAAAAACAGTACAGTATGGCTTTTTCCAAGTGACTAAGTAGAAAGACAATTTGCATTAACCTAGAAGGAAGCAGACTGTACTCACTCAGGGTAGAAAACAGTTACTTCCTACCATTTAGCATTATCAACCCCTAGCATCTACACCAGTATTAATCATATAAAGAGAGAAGTGTATGCAGATTTAGATTATAACAACACTCTTGAGGACATAGTTTCAACTCTGTTAATATGAGAATCTACCAATTGTAACAGCAGTTTAACAATCCAGAAAATCAGATCTGTAACACTGGACCATAAACCTCAAAGCTCCAATGGTTTCCAAGACAAGTAACACTTTCCCACAAAACATCTCTGTCTGTAGGTGATTTCCAACACTTGATGAGTGACTGAAGTCGAGACCAGGAACTGACTAACTACAGCACATGTGCCTGGAGCCTTTGCAGAAAGCTATTTCCTATATCTAGGTTGTATCACTTACAAAAACTACATCCACCATTTTGGGCTTTAGGAAAATGAACTACTAAATCTTTCTCTACCACATATTCTGAAGATCCTGTTCAGTATTTTCAGTGGTACCTAAAAATTCTTATAATTCACACTGAACAGGAGGTATCCACAGAAACGGAGCAACACCTCGGAAGGAAAAGGGGATACAATGCTGTGCTATCTCTAGACTCCCTTAGTGCTGGAGTTACCAAAGAAAATTGGGTCAGTATTATTGGAAATTCTCAACATCTCTCCTCAGGAGGGAGAGCTGCCAGATTTTCTTCAGAAAGTGTCAATATTGCCTATATTCAGGAAGCTTCTTTCTGACACTGACCATCTGGTAAATTATCATCCTGCATCGAGCCTTCCTTCAATGTTTAAGAAAATGGAAAAGTTCGAGAGACAATTCCTCTCCTAGTAACATGTTGCCTCAGATTTCCCTGTGTTTTGTCAATCCGGGTCACAACAATCTGTGGCTTTAACAGTCTATACTGAAACATCATTGCATTGCACAACCTTTGCATGAAGATTAAGAGGCTTGGCTCTACATAAAGCTTATAAGCATACCACTCATCTGGTTGACCAGTACCAGCTGTAAGGTGCTGACTTACCTGTGGAAGGAGTTGCTCTGCCCATACCCTCATCAGGTATTTTGGAGGATTACTGCCCTTCCTTCAGATGCACTTGTGTTTTCATCATGAGCCGCCTTCTCTTCCCTTTGTTAGGTGCTTTTAACATACTTAATACTTCATGTGGAGGTGCAGGCTGCAGTGTCTGTAAGTTGTTTTCCCCTCTCTTCCAACTCCACTGGTTTGGGTAACTTTCTGATGAAAGCAGCTGGGACTAAAGCTTGTTATGACAGTATTTTTGGAAAGAGAGAGCAGGGATTTGGTACACTGGAGACAGCAACCTGAAAGAAAGCATTTCTTTCCTGTTATAACTACTTACACTGTTGCTTCCAGAAGAAGGCAGAGTTTGCTGCAGCACTTGCTATTAATCCTATGAATCTTAGCCTTAAAACTGACACCAGGCACAGTTAAAGCCTTGGACAAGCCCTTTACTTTCCCTTGCACAACCCAAGAGATGTAAATAGTCTTTTGAGAACCATCCGAAAATGGATGACACTTTTGTTTGGGTCAGTTTTCCCTCTTGATGAGTTTGTTAGTATCAATATATCCCCATGTAAAATTGATTTTATCTCAAATTTTCACCATTTAGGTGGCATTCCCACATCAAAGTACTCCCCCTTACCTCCGAACTTTAAAAACATGTTTATGAGTCCATCTGCCCCACAGTAAATGCAGGGTCTGATTCAGCAAAGCACTGAGCTTTTGCTTAACACAGAGAAAAGGACTTCTGGGTATGCTTAACTTTTAGCATAAGTTTATGTGCTCCAAACTGAAGAGCTCTTACATGGGACCAATCTGCCCAGTTCATCTCTTACTAAACCGAATTATATGGAAATTTGCACCATTATCTCCCAGTGGCACACTTCACCTTCCCTGCATAGGAACACATTCAAGACAGATACTGGAAACCTCAGCTGCGCCATGTAAAGGAAATCAAGTGCTAATTGCACGGATGGTGGAGATATACAAAAGGAAAACAATTGTAAGAGCAGTCAAATGCTTATGACTTCACCTACACTGGCATTTGTAGCAAACTCTTCTTTAAAATGGCTACTTAAAATTCAACCACAATCACAAAAATGGAAGTATTAATTGCAATTTAATAGGAAACAGCAGCACCCAAGGAGGGGAAAAGAAGAATGTTGTTAGCTTGACTATTACATTCTGGTAGTGAGCCAAGTACAAGGAAAAAAAATCTGTGCCATTTCTAGTTGAAAGTGAATTAGAAACAAAGTTATAAATCCTTCAATAAAGTGTGTGAATCTTATACCCTTGAATGATCCTAAGCTATTAGTAACCTCAATCAATTGGATATTTTCAAGTATTTATGCTTGATTTATTCCTCCCTTTCCCCTAAATACTGATATCTCAGGCATGGTAAAAACTGCAAGGAAGACCAAAAGCATTCCCCTCTCCTTGGGGTGTAACCAGAACAATCATGCATGATGAAACACAAAAAGCCCGTAGGCTCTGAGTACAGTGGGCAGATAGAGGGATGCTTTCACAGTGGTATCTACACTACAGATTCAGCTGAGGTTGGAAAGCAAGCCAGTCCTTCACTCAAAGCCAGAGCTCACCGGTGGCCAAACGCAGTGCAAGCAGACATGTCGAGGGGCACAGTAACATTTCTATTTACAGGCACATAGGTCCCCTCTATGAGGGCTTAACAGACTGCTTCTTGCTCTCTGTTAACTGGCAATCAACAGATTGCAGACCCAGAACGACCTCAAGTTTAACTGCCTATATTATGGCAGAGTCTCAGCACAGGCCATCTCTGCCTGGTAATATTTAAGATCAAAGTACAAAGTGAAAACATGGCTGATGGGAGTTGAAAAGGAGACAAACTTGACCCGGTATGAAAAGTGGTAGTCCAGCTGGGCTCTTTGCCTAGTTTTTGGGGACAGATTTTACAAGGAAAAGAAAGAAAAAAAGAGGAAAAATTTTCAAACAGTAGCAAGATCTTCTATGAAAATATGATTATCCAATGCAAGACTGGGGGGATGGTGAGAAAGAAGAAAGAGGATAAAGTGCTTTCTAATCTCCGTATTAGGTTTAAAACTAAACATTTCTGCTCTTCAAAAAGACTAAGTGTCACTTCAGCTTTCTTCAAAAGATGCAGATTCTAAAGCTCAAGGCAAGCACCTCTTGCAGTCCAATGAACCCTATTTTCTATTACACAACAACTGTTTCTTCATATGTCTACACAACATTATATGTTAGAAACCTTAGGAAAAGCTTTTCATAGAAAAAATTGTCCAGGATGTCTTCTGTAAGGAAGGTGCCTGACATCCTCTTCACAGATTGCATGCAATAGGTCAGCCTGCAGATGCACTAGCCACAGAGCCACAGGGCCCATACTGACCCTGCTCCATATAGACAGGGCAAGTATTTTAGGTCTTTGTTCAACTAACAGGTTCTACAACACCTACACACAGTTTGAGTGATAGCTATTCCAGTGAAAATGTGAAGAACTTAACAGATTTGAGTGCTCAACACTGAGCATTCATTTTCTTGAAGTTTTTCAGATTAGCAATGTCAGTAGAAAGAAGAAAATGTGTATCTATATAATAAAGAAAACAATTTCATTGGGCAAGGTTCCATTCAGTCTAAAGGGTATTGCTGAATCAGTTTGCATATCAAGCACAATTAAAAAGCAGATGACATTTTAAAATCAGCCTATCCCAAGCACTGAGGAGAACAGCATAAATTCTTCAGTGTCAAAGACAGAGGAGTAGAAAACCTCCTAACTATTTCCTTGGTACACTTGCAATTCGCTTAAAAAAAAAAAAAGTTATTTCAGAGAAATGGACTTAGTTACATTTGAGCATTTACAACGGGCTTTTTGCAACAGCATTCAAGGTTGATTCACTGCTGCTTTGGATTCCATTTCTAGCCCAACTCATGGGAAACAGAGGGAATTAAGAGAGTGTATATACAATGTGTATATTCCTGAACTCCAACAGGTCAAGGGGAAAAGAACAGCTAATGCATTTGTGGTGCAAAACCAACACCAAACTGCCTTGCCTTTGATGAAATAAAAAGGCGAAGCATTAAGTTCATCATGGGCCCCTAATTCACAGAACGCAGCTACAGGCAAGACTAGGAGGTGGAAGGGGAAGTTCTCAGGAGCTTGGCCAGGCTGAGATGACTGCTTATGCAAGCTTCTGAAAGACAGTATCCCTTCTTTTTCTGAATAGTTATTGGAACAGAGGCCACCAAACACTGAAAAATGAGATCCTAAGACACAGAACATGATTAAATGTGACCGTCAGAAATAAACGCATTAGTTGCACCCACTGTGTCAAAAGGTAATCTCCAATCAAGGAAACAGGAAAATTTGATTTCATATAAATACAAGTGTCAAATGTTAATGATTGTTATGCAACCTACTGTTTGACGATGTCCTTGCTCAGGAAAACTTGATCATTTAATTCAAATGCTATTTATTAGCCTGAGCAATGCCTGCAGAAGCCAAAGCCTGGTAGTACTTACAGTCCATCAAAGACTTCGTTTTTCTACTGATCCTAACTACTCCACAGTCCTACTTACTACTCAGCATGCAGGTCTCCACTTGCAGGAGTTCTAGTTGAGCACACGTCTGACCTGAAGCCATCAGCCTTACACAGTTTGTTGGATACATGCTTTGGGCCAAGTCTGGTGAATGAAGAACATATTTCAGCACCAGGAATACAAAACAAAACTTGACTTGAAAGCAGGTACATCAAAATAAAGAGTAGTAGTTATTCACTACAACCTTACTCTTTAGCCAGGACATGTAACTTGGACATTTAATTTTAAATACTGTCCATAGCCCAATACAAGGGGAAGGAGTAGGCACGTTATTTAACATGAGGTGAAGGTGACAAGGCACAGCACTGGCAGCAAGATGCTGCTGCTTCTCTGTCCTCCAGAGTCTACTGAGCTTATTATGTAGGCATCACTACATTATCTGGAGCTATTTACTTTTTCCATGATTTTATAGGTGACTTATGAAATTATTTCCTAGTAAAAATACAACTGATGTCAAGACATTATAATTCCTGACCAGTAAGGAAAGGAATTTCTGCATGTCTACTCAGAACAGCCAATTATCATGAGCTTAATTTACATAAGAGCAAGCACAGGTAAAACCTTCAGTATCCATATCCATTAAATGTTCTAATCACTAGGTCCTTAACTGCTCAAAGAGGGTTTTTGACTTAGAGGCTGGAAAGGCAGTGAATTTCAAGCTATTCTGGGCTATCACGGCTAGAATTATGAAAAAACAGGTAGCCCAGCACAATATCCTGTGTGACAGCAGCTGCATTTACACATGGAAATGTTGAGGAAACATTCCTGGAGAAAGGTACTTTTGGTTGGAAAAAGCTGCTGCACATCATTCAGTACTTATGTGAAAATATATTAATGGAATAAAGCCTATGCTTTTTTTTTTGTAAAAAGCTTAATAGTTTTCCTAGGCACTAATGAAACTTGACAGCTTTTTCAGAACAAAACTTCTCAAAACTAAAAGCTTTCTGTAATGGAACAGAAAAAGTTTTACATGCCTGTCCACAAAGTCTGTATTTTTTGAGGAATTTCATCCTTCTGGCAAGCACTTAGCATGGGTATTGAGCATACAAAAATCTAGGATTTCCTCTCCTATCTGACCTCCCTTGTCCAAGGAAAGAGAGGACAAGAACATATGAGAACATTTGGCTAAACTACTAATATATGACTTTCAGCTTCCTCTGAAAGCTAATATCCAATCTCCATATCCAGTTCTTTTTGCTTTAGACCTCTGGTTTGACCAAACATGACAGTAAAATGTTCACAGAAGGGTGGGTTTTTTAACATTTTGTTTATTTATTTTTTAAAGAAATGGAGAAACACTCAGTAACTTCTTTTGGGGAAGAAGAGCTTCTTTTTGAATACCAGATGATTTTACTATTCACGTATTACTGACTTTTTTATTAGTTCTGCAATACCAATTGATGGGACAGAAGGGGAAAACAGCATTCGTGGGTGCTGTTTCAAGTTCTGCCACTTGATTTGCTTTTATGACTTTAAATAATTCATTCTATTTCTTTTTCTAGCTCAGGTTTCTTCTTGTAAAAGATGGATAGAAGCCAGTACTGCCTACATTACAAAGGCAACAGGAAAATAAATTAATTTTCAACACGTTCTAAGGACCTGGGAGATATAGTTATGAACTCCAGAAAGATTATTCACTCCAAATGGCAGTATCTTAAGATTCTTAAAAATGGTAAATGATGCATTATTACAGCATTATCATTTACATCATTAACATTTAGAATACGCCAAATCAGAGGTTTTCTTAAGTTTATTTTCTAGCTTGATGAATAAGAAGCTTCTTGACTTACATGACAGCTCTTGTTTTAACAGAAAAACTGCATTAGATCGCTACAGCCTGGAGAAGGAGGGATTCACCCACATCCTCAACGCAGCCCATGGTCAGCGGAACGTGGATACAGGACCAGAGTATTATCACAACATGGCTGTGGAGTACCATGGAGTGGAAGCAGATGATCTCCCCACTTTCAACCTCAGCCAATTCTTTTATTCAGCTTCTAAATTCATTGATAATGCGCTTCAGGATGAAAGAAGTAAGGAGGGTGCTGAAAATGGTTAAAAACAGTTCAACATTTACTCCGATTAAAAGCATAGTTCCACAGCATTTAACCTTGTAGGAACGAAACAAGTCCAATACAGGTTAACAGAAAATACAAAGCTAATAGTAGGGAATCAGCTTAAGACAAGGTAGTGATGTAATTAGGACCTTTCTCACTAATACTAGCCCAAGAGCCCCTTACCAAGCACTTCGATAAAAGTCCTCATCACAGGTGTCCTGTCTGATAGAGATTTTTTGTTGTTGTTTTGACTCTGTCATAAACACATCAGAGACAACTGGGCATTGCATGGGTGCCACAAATTAGCTGTTTTTTCTTCAAATTATCCTTATTAACATAGGTTTAATGAATATTAGTTGCATAGCAGCGGGAGTAGGACACAAGTGCTCCCAGAGATTCCATGCTGTCACTCCACAGCTTCATGCTCTACAGCATTAGATTCACTCTATAAACATAGAAACCACCCTTCCTACCTGACCATCAGATCTACCCCAACCTATAACATTTATCTCTCCGCCATCTTCCAAGCAGCAGGGAACCAAAACAGCTCTGACAGCAGTAATCTAGAAACATTTCATTAAAGTCTTTGTAATTTCTCAGCTTGATTACTACAATTCATTATTTGCTGATCTCCAGCAGTGTTCTATCAGAAAGCTTTACACTGATGTGAAGTGCTACAGCTAGGCCTCATACTGACTTTCAATATTACTCCTACTCCTTCCCCCCTCATACTTGTTAAAAAAAAATAAATCTCTACAGGATATTTTACCAGAAACCAGTTGAGAAACTTAAGACTTTCCTGCTGACATATAGAGACCTTAATATCAGAGGGTCAGATATCAAGTTTCTAGCCTTGTGTCAGCTTCTGTTCTTGCCTGTTTAGCTCAGCTGTAGGCAGCTACTACCTGACTTGCTTCCAGTAGCCAGCCAGGCCTTTACAATTCTACCCTTTCAGCAAGTACAGTCCACAGCAACAGTCCCTTCCCTTGTTCTGGAGAAAATCTTGAAAGCAGATCAGTTTTAAAAATCAAAGTCCTAATAGCAAGAGAAACTGCTCCAGGAGCTTACTTGCTTGTGAAGAAATGTACCTGGCATTTCAAAAAGTACGTCTGAAGCACTGCCTTTGGAAAGGAGTGGATAACTAACACTCACCCGTGTCTAGCCATGGCTGGAGGCCAGAGGTCAGAATCAGACTGGAGTAGCTGGAATAAGAAATGCAGACTTTCTCATTCCCACCACCCTCCTGTTCCTGTAAGACCTTTGTCTGCTGTACTGAGGTAGAGAAACAAGCACAAGGGAAGCAGCAAAGGCTAGGAAAAAACCCTTGCATTCCAATAAATATTGTGGCAGGAAAGGATGAGATGGTGCGGGGGAGTATTAACCTTTTTGTTTCAAAATCACATCAAAGTCCAGGAAGTTCTGAGACAGTATCAAGCACCAGTCCAGCACTGAAACATGAAACCGAATCCAAAAATGACCAAATGAACTACAAAACAAAAAAAGTAGATACTACCAACTGCAATAACTTCTGTAGCTGTGCAGTGCCTGTCACATTCACAGGGCTTTTAAACAAGATAGACAGCTAAGATCTATTCTGATGGAGACCAATAAAATAAAGAACTACTGTAATACTCATGAAGAAAAAGAGGAAGCTCTTAACTTTATCATGAGGGAAAAGCACACTACATGTATGCACATCTTATCCCAGCCAAAGACCCGCATAAAGACACTATGCATGGCCCAGGGAGACACTGAGGTTTAAAAGCATGACAATGGCTTTCCAATAAACATTTACAGAACAGAATGACTCCAGAAGCTAGACTGAAGAGTGGACTGATGCCTCTCAGAGAGAAAAGAGTAGAGGCAACTACTGCTCTCCTCCAAGAACATAATTGCACAATTTGTGGATGCACATCTAGTGTAGAAAGGTGTTTTGCATTTCAAGTGCCTAATGAACAGGCTTATTTGTGTGCACCTTCCTGACTGACAGAGCATTCAGATTCCTAAACAGGATTTTATACTAAGTACTTATCTCCAGTGGTAATGACATGGGATTCCAGCATGTAGTGTTAAATACTTCTGACCAGTAACAACATTACACTGCTTTGCTGCTTTGTATTAGAACTGAGCAAATGCAGAGAGGGAAAAGGGGGGAAAGACATAAGTTTCAACTTATGTGACCAGAATGTATGTATTAATGATCTATGTTTTTTTACTTCAGCTGTATGACACTGTTTGGTATGTGACCTTCAGCCAGCCAAGCGATCAAATTAATTGAATAGATGCCTGCATAAAATTATTTTTGCTGGGAAGGTGCTCAACAGCCAATGTTATTGAAACAAGTTGTCATACAAATGAAGAAGGCTCTTTCTGCAACAGACCAGAAAGCTTGGCAATTTGGATGCTGCCAAAACAGTCCTAATGCAGTAATTCTGACTTAACATTCAAGATCTTTATGATGGTAGAGAAATTCCTTGATCAGAGCAGTATTTGCAGAGTTTAAGCATGGGCTGCTAGACTTAAGAACAGTTATAAGTTTTACAGGCAAACTGTAATGGTTCACAATTATGCATGCTGTCATTCAGCTGTGCATAAAGCTTTCCCAAAACATGCAATTCAGCCCATAGGACAGATTAAAATTTTTATCAGTGAGGTCTCACTAACACGAAAGGAAGACATTATTTTAAGAGGCTTTTAGGTTCCCTATTATGCTACAGATTTAGTACTTATTCCTTTGCAATTTTAGTTCCTCAAGATGTAGAAGGGAATGGCACTTTCACTCCATGTGAAAATGTCACAGGAAAAATACATTAAAGACACAGACAAAAAAAAAACAAAGTGAGAAGAAACATATGAGACAAAGACCCCAGGCATTTGACCAAAGACACCTCAATATTCGTGGCTCCATCTTTGCTGCATCAAGAGAGATAAATTTTCAAGAAACACAAATCCAAGTCAAGTGAACAAAATAGTGACCTGTCACCACTCAGCAGACCTCTACCTCTATGCACTGATACTGGATATTCAGGCACTCCTTGGAGGATATAAGTGGTCAGGATCTGCAAAAGCAGACTCCTTTCTGAGGAAAGAAAGTTCAGAGTGGTCTTTGCACTAGAATGAAAGAAACTACAAAACAGTACAGAAGAGATGTGGCTCTGCAGAAGAGTACCAGTGTTTTGCTGTAACAGGCAGTCAGATCTTGACTATTCACACACAGTAAACAATAGACTTCAAACCAGCAGACATTTCAGAAAATTATACAGCCCTTTTTTGCCTTTGTTAACAATATAAAACCACGTTTTCTCCTAGATCCCCTGCATTTGCCACCCACACAAAGCAAAGCATTCCTTGTCCTATCATGTATTTTATCACCTCAACAGCAACCCATTTACAAGGTGGGAAGCTCTAAAGAGAAGCAGTGAAGGGTTGAACAAATGAGTTTTCATCCATTTTAAATATTTGCAGTAGTAACAGAATGGATTATAATTTTCCAGGAGAGGAAGAGGCACTTTCAGTTATCAGAAGGACTGGAATTTTGCCAAGATGCCTCTAAGACTATCTGCTGGGATTAGGATGCAGACCGTAACCATTAATCCTCTAGTGTTGGCAGTTCTTGATGCATCCATTACACAGCAATGCTCCTTGTGCCAAGACATCCTCTTGTGCCTGGAAGTAAAGGAGTTAATCAGCAAGAGTCATGGCTTTGCACCCAACACTTCTCACTAGGCACAGCTCACAAAGATAAACTATTATTGGCCCTGATACTGTTGGTTTTTGTTTTTTTCTCCTGTGTCAATTGCTTAGCAGGGTGTTAAAGAGAATGCTCCAGATCTACTTCCTTCAGCAGTTCAACCCTTTGTGAGACCCCCTCAAGGGCTTTGAATCATTTTTGGAAATCTTTTGAAGTGTTTCAAAACCTGTCAATCAGACCTTAACCACTTACTGTTTTCTTTCTCCACGTCCCACAGACACTGCAAACACTGAAGTTTCCACTTTGACTTACCACCTTGCTAGTATCCAAAGCCGAGGACTCTCTGCCTCTGGAAGCCTCAAGTTAAACCAGGCAATGTCACAAAGCTAAATCTAAATCTCAAGCCACATTTATCCAGAGATGAAAACTATTGGCAAAGACACTGCATTCACAGGATACAAAACAGGCTCCTACTGCAAGGAGATGATCATATTAGAACACTCAGAGAGATGATGGTGGGTGGTGGTGGTGAAATATTACTTTCACTAAACACAACAGGGTGACTAGCCAGAGATTTCTACAGAAGCATTTCTACAGTGTAAGAGGTGGTTTCTTTCCACCCCCTGGTTATATGCCTATGGCCTTTCTTATCCTCTGCCCTCAAAAATGGGCATAAAGTGATGCAATCTAGATCTCAAAGCACATCACTGTCAGAACAACAAAAGAAATTCAAGTTTGGTTACTTTGTGTCTAGCTAAGCAGAACTGAGAAAGGCACCCCACATGCATCCCATTTACCCTCATGGAAGGAGGGTATGATAGCATACCAAATCCTCCCACACCCTTGTGCTTTGTTCATTATTCCCAAACACAGAATTACATGCACACTGTTTGTGAGGCATGTAAGACTGGGCTGCAGTAGAGCTTGCTATGTTACTTAATGCAAGGCTGTAGCCCCTAGACCTTCTCTGTAAGCTTTGTTCACAAATAAAAAGATACTTGGTTTAAAATTAAATGGATCATCTCTACTGTAGATGCTGTTCAGTTACTACAGTAAGGTTTACAGCCTCAGATTCCCCACATGTGAAAAGACAGGCCTTACAAATTGCTGGTAAGGGTATTCAAACCATCAAATAGAGCAGGGGCACTACAGAAACCTTCACTGTCAAAGAAAAGGATTACCCAGTGTCACCTCTGCATCACTTCTCTTTGTTCCCACAGACAAGGTTCTGGTTCACTGTGCCATGGGTCGCAGCCGCTCAGCCACACTGGTCTTGGCTTACCTGATGATTTACAAGAACATGACAGTGGTGGATGCCATTGAGCAAGTGTCAAGACACCGGTGCATCTTGCCAAACCGGGGCTTCTTGAAGCAGCTGAGAGAACTGGACATAGCGCTGGCACTGCAGAGGAGGAACAGCAAAAACAGCCTACCACCTGACGGCGAGCAGAACAGCACCACCATCTAGTATTGCTCCTGGCAGGGCTGTGCTACTGGAAAAGAAACTCCATAGAAGGAGGGGAGGGAAGGTGTAGTTAATTACACAGTCACAAGGATCATTTGTTATTTGCCGGAAAAAAACAAAGTCATTTCAAATGCTGTCAAGATGAGAAAGAAGGGAGGCCAAATTTAAAACCCATTGTCTTAGAAAGTTCCAGCCTTAGCAGAATTCTTTGTTACATCAACAAATACATTTCTCTCTCTCTTTGTGCTTTTACAGCACAAAAACTTAAAACTCTCCTCTAGCTGAGTACCCCCAAAATCCTGATCCTAACCCAAGGACACCGCCTTTAAACAAGTGCAGTTAGGCACTCCTGAAGAAATTCTGCAAGAAAAAAAATAATTGTTTAGTCCAGAGTCCTGAAGGATTTCACAGGAGTTTGCCTTTTTGTGTTGTTTCCTGCCATCTCCATGTCTTCTTTCAGAGTAATAATCTACAGCAGCATAGTGTTTAAAGAGTCTCCACACGAGGATCAACTACTCAGCCTTCACGATGTACTTTGCAGCACACCATGCAAACTAGAAACAAAGCAACACCCTTGACAAGGTCAAATGCATAAGCAGCTACAACAGACAACAATTTAAGGAGATACATACACGACATTTTAGGAGTTTCAGTTTTAACTTGCTTAACTTGTCCTAAATCCTTCAATTACCTAAATTTTATAAGGTTCTATCTATACATAAAGAAGTGCCTTTACATTGTTATGAGGAAGGTCAGTGCTGAACATGTGGAGCCCTAATATAGCCCCTAAATAACTATGGATTATAACCAGTTCTAATGAGGTTTTAGAAAAGGCATGAGACACCAATGAAGCCTTTAAAAAATAGCAGTGACCTGACTACCCTGGAAAAAGCTGCTGCTGTGCTTCCAGACACTGTTTATACTTATCACTACCACGTTTCCTCCTATCTCAGCTTTAGTCACCTGAATAGGTCATTATGCTCCTATACAGTTGCATTTGTTAATAAAATCATTTGTTGGCAGAAGTGGTACAAATACACTAATGGGGACGCCAGACCTACTTTTCTGCCCAACCTTACTCCATTTACCCTATTCGACATAAATTATCAAACTGTGTTTTGACACCAATGAGACTTTTGCCACCCCAGCAGCATTTGACATTTTTAAAATGTACTTTACAGGAGGATCACAATTAAGCCATGTTTACCTTTCCTGTATCTGCTAAAAGCTCAAGTCATCACCCTCTCCACCAGAATTTTGCCTATTTCAATGTATCGGGTAAGAGCTATTTGCTGCCTCAGTGCCTGAAAAGAATGACTTGGCTATCAAGCACACAGGAAAGTTCTCCTGGTCTTTACCACCTGACACAAGACCTTGCAACTTTGGCACAGTATGAAGTGTAGAAGTCTTGTATACTTAAAAAAGAAGAGTATGCAACACTGAGAACTGTGAGTATATGCTACAAACCAGAGTTGAGCACAACTTTATACCAATTTTATATATGTTAACAGCTCTTCACAGGCTAGCCATCTCTAGTGTGAAGACTTTCCTATTCCTTCACATCTTTTTGGGGCCCAAAACCCAGGAAAACATTCATCTCTAAACACTAACTGTAGCCAAGGCTGCAGACACCCATAATACAATGCTTTTGATTTATCATTTGTATTTATCTGCATAATAAATACCTTATCTTTAAATTCTCAGACTGCAATTAACTACTGCTAAAAAACAAATGAGACATCACAACGTGAAAAATATTCATGACAGAGACACACAAACTCTGGGACTTTCAGCAAATTAAGTATCTCTACACTTAGACTGGGGGGGGAAAAAACCACCCAGAAAAAACTTAGAAAAAATAGGGAACTTGGAAGTAATCTGACACTTCAAAAATAAATAAGCACTCACAGTATGGGGTTAGAGCAAAAATATTTTCGGATGAGGTCCCTCAACTCTTTCCATCTACTTCCACCGACATTCAAATGTAACTTTTTAGACCACCTTAGTGTCTACTGCAATTTAATTCACAAACTCAAACATGGAACAGTTCTCCCAGCCTTGTGTTAGACAAACCTGCTTTCAGATGCATGGCCCTGCTCTTTCATTTAGGCTGAAGGTGAAAGCTGAACACTCTCGCCTCCATGGCAGCACCGTGTTTCTTCTCATTAGCTTTACAGACAGGAATTCTGTACCAAATGATATACCACAAGATAACAAATATCCACCAGGATTTCCCTCAGTCAAATTACATGTATCCTGCCATATAGCTTGATGACTGCTGTAACTGAAAGAGGATTTGTTGATTTACATGCATAATTGATCACTCTCAGCTCTACAGCCAGGGCCATTCTTTCTAGTTACCATGCTGGATATAAATGTAGTTCGTTTCCATCAACCAGCCTGCCTGATGGATAAATTAACAGCTTATAAAACTGAAAGATATTGACAGTGATCTAATATGAAAGATTAGTATGTTTAGCAGCTCATCATTTCTGCTTATATCACAGAGATTCTTACAAAGTTAGTAAAAAACGGGTTATATTTTGTCCACTGTGAGGGGATCAGGTAGCCTGAGTGCAACAACACTTACCATTCCTGTCTTTACTAAAGGGCCAGAGTGCAGCTTTCAGTACTGCCTTTTGACAGCTTCCAGAGGAAGTATGTTCTGCTTCAAAGTCAAGTAAATATCTTCCCTAGAACCAGGTCTTGCCTGAAGGACTCAGCTGGTACAGCTGTGCCCATTAAACAGTAAACATATTTCTCATTTACTTCCCAACTTTCTTGCCTACCATTCTCCCAGAATCCATTAGACTAAATCAGAAAGAGCAGAAGTTCTGGAACATGTGACTTCCACAAAGCAGGCAACTCTTGCAAGCTGCTAACTAGCTACTAACAAGTGTTAGCAGCACTGATTTCATCTACAAACCAGGTCTGTAAGAAACACACACAGAACAAGGCAAGTTTACCTCTTTCTTGCCAATCACTAGTGGTATGGAGTATTCTATTTGTCAAACCAAAGACTAAGATTGCATGGGCAAGGAAGCCCCCTGCATTCCACAAGAATAATCTATTGCAATTCTGAGAAGAATTTTCTGGGGACACTAAAAGAAACGGCTAATTCTCATCTGGGATGGTGTCAGACTACATAGTCAAAACTGACACTGCAATGGGTACACAATACATAAAACAAGTATATCTGTAAAGGAAAAGACAGCCTTCTTATAAAACAAATTTCAGTGCAGTAAGGCAATTCATAGCTAAATAGTCACTACAGGAAAAGATGTAGCAAAGCTCCTCGTCCTCCTGACAGGAATTCAATTCCGAAATAAAAAAAAATAGATTGGAAACTTGCCTGTTGTGCACATGCTATACATAATTTTCCAACCAACCTTTAATTCATATATTGCAAATACAGAATTTTGGCAATATACTGGAGTCAGGATGCTCTGTTTCAGGTTAGCATAAATCTGAAACAGTAAGAAAGTCTGATTTGCTTTTATGTTACAGGCTTCGAAACTCAAAACTAAACAGCAGCAGATAAAAGACCCAGGTGCCTTTTTCATTCACTGTAAAAACACACAAATGAAAAATCACAAAGCATACTGCTACTTTGAGATGCAATTATTTAAAAAGATATGGTCCTCGCTAAACATACTTGAAGGCTGCAAATAACTGTGTTGAGTTCACCTTTCCCTTTCCTAAGCATAAAAAAGTTGACAGTTATTTTGTGAAAATGAAAATATAATTTAAGTACTATTAATACTCTCTGCCTTTAATAAACAGATTTGACAACGTAAGTGGCATGAACCAAGATCTTTGTTGTATTGTGCTCTCCTTATCAAGTGTTCTGAAATCCTAAAACACAAGTTACTCCAACTTACCATTTCATCAGCAATTTTAGCTCCCATTCAGATCCACTGTCTTAAACTGCTGCTCCCCTGTACTAGAACTGAACAGGTTACACGCATGAATCTGTAGTATCAGTTTCTTGACTTGGCAACACCATACAGTAATGGTTTTATTTGAAGAAACACACATTTTTTTGACATTTGGGTATGTGAAATACTACCTATAAAGCTGCTTTATATACTGGAACAGGGACACAGTTTTCAGTCAAGATGACCAACGCTTTCACCTCAGCCAACCACCTTCCTGCAGTGTCAATGGGCTAGAGGGGGAATTCAGTGGCAACAATCACATTAGAAGCATTTTGAAAAATTGTGACAAGGATTTTTTTCTGGTGTAGATTCACACATACCACATTTGAACTTGTCCACTCACAAGCTACATGTATAGACAGCCTTCTTGATATTTAGAGACCACCTACTGCTAGATTAGAAGTGTTCATCTACATGTGTATGTTTGTGTGCACCCATATCCATATACACAGAATTTGCATCATCTTGTCGCCCAGCAACAGTGACAAAGAAAGAGATTACAATTCTATCATTAAAATACAGTTCAAACACCATGTCAGTTACTATCATATATCCTTTTATATATATATATATAAACACTTTCTATAGGAAAGAAGTTTCATACATTAAATATTGACAACCTTTTAGCGTATTAAATACATATTTATTCAATATTTTATTAAGATTATTTAAAAAAATAATCTTAGATACTCTTTATTTTCACAAGATGTATGCAATTATGATGAGTAACCTACACTTAGGCTCTAACAGCCTAATCCAAACCCCACCAACTTTAATGGGCTTTAGATCAAGCATGTGAGAGCACCGTAACAAACACTGTTTCAGGAGGTAATTCCCATGCAACATCAAACTATGACAAGACACAAGAGGCTAAAAATGGCTCATCATAATTTATTTTATGTTAAAATGTACAGCTTGGGGGGGTTGTTTTTTGCAGGTTTTATTTTTGTTGCTTGGGTGGGGTTTTTGTGGATATTTTTTTTTAAGTGACTGACTAAAAAGATAACAGATAAATACAAGAGTGTCACTGGGTCCTATTTTTACATGTATCAAGCCTCTTCTGTTCGGCCCTTACAGTCACTCTGTACAGGTACAAAGGCTACAAAAAAGGAAGC